CCGTTTCGTTCTATTGTGGGACTCTTCAGCAGTGATCCATGATCCCGCTCGCAGGATCAATCGGTTCATGATCTCAATCAAAAACTTAATAATCTCCACAACCCCTATACTAGTACTAAGTCAATGTTTTGCGTTAACCTTTATTATGTGAAGCAACTATTATTATTATACAAATTCTAGATACTGTCAATTTCAAGAAATTCATTCATTTCCTACTTCTTCTTTTTTGATTACCTACTTCTTATCATCCACTTCATTATCTTGTTTCATAGTTGAAACATTCACAAAGATAAGGAAAGATGGTATTATAATATAATTCAGGTTGTTTAACTATAATTTCTTTATTAGATTCATTTGGTCCATTTATCAAAATTAGCTCAATTTGAAAATAGTGTTTTATTCATCACCGACTGACATCATTCAGAGTAATAACAAAAAAGAAAAACGCTTACAAGTATTCTAGAGCCATCTCATTATAATTTGAAGCTTGTTTTCAATGAATATCAACTAGCTTAGACGATAATAAATATTGAACGTTAATTCTCACTACAAACGTAATACCACTTAGCCAGTAAGTCAGAATTGATCATAATAACAATAGTAATTGCATAATCACTAGTGACAAAATTTAAGATGAAGTTCAGACGTTGTAGTTAAAAGCCATCACTTATCGTATCAATCAAATCATATCATGAAGCAGTAATTCCCAAATCTATAGGATAAGAATCATATGATGCCAAAATGAGCTGAAATATGGAATATTGAACACTGAATTCTGTCTCAATAATTTAAATATATCATGTTCTAATCTGAAACCTCTGATTTTCCTATCATATTACATTTTAAATCTATACTAATAAAAACTAGAGAAAAAGGAGTTAACAAATTCTCAAAACGTTCTGTAATTCCCAATGATTATCTAAACGGTGTTCATTTATTAAGAAAGCTAATATGATCTTGAGATGGTGGAGAACATTTGTAGCACAGGTAGATGATTTTGATAGAGTTTTGTTCTCTGAGTCAGATGGTTTGGTTGTGGATCTTTCATTGTTCTTCTAACCGACATCATCAGCACAAAATTCAGATAGAAGTGAAGCAATTTCAAGTATACCATTTTTCTTCCACTTTGTTCAGCTATTCTCTATCCTAATGAGCAGTTTATTAGAGGTCTATATCTTACAGTTGTTGGTAGAACGCTTCACTTCTATCTGAATTTTGTGCTGATGATGTTGATTAGAAGAACGATGAAAGCTTCACGACCAAACCATCTGGCTCAGAGAACAAAACTTCATCAAACTTAAGAAAGCTATCTTTATCAACATATATGACTTAGAATAATCACTTCATTTTGTTTGGATACACAAGTTATAAATGTATTAACAAAATCAACATAAGTTTCTATGACAATGACTCTAAATAATCAATATAATATTTGCTTGAATTTACTATGATTATGATCAGTTTTTTTTTTGAATAATAGTCTTCTATTGTTTAAATCAATATAAACCATTTACTCTTGCTCTCTCCATCTTAAAATAAGGTCGGTATGATTTTATTTATTTTAGATTGCTTCTCAAGAATGATGGTGTTGTTGTCGTGTTGTTTTTTTTCTTTCAATACGACCATAAATAATTATTGACTACTTCAATAAATTTGGTAGAATTATTTTAACTACATTCCAGTTTTTAACTAAACTGTAATTATCTCCAATTCATTAAGTAAGAATTTCAATTAAATATGTATGAATAACTTGAATAGTTTCTAGTTGATTAGATACACAATAAATAATGCTTTATCTAGCACTAAGTATATATATTTGTAACCAGTAAATATAGAGTTAAGCCTCTTTTGAATTTTACATAACTACAGTTTGATGCGAATCCTATACGCTATGAACAGAAAACATGAAACTGATTTATTGAACAAACAAACACCCAACTAATATGTATGTTATTTTCATCATAGATTGATCTCAGTTGGGTTATTTTTGAAGATCAGGCAACCTTGTGTAACTGTTTCGTTATAGCCTGTGACTCGTCAGTAGCAGACAAACGCGAACCTACCAGGAATTGAATCCACTACCTTCAAGTTTCGTAGCTAACGATTCACCATTAGAACCATGGCGTCGGCGTCCAGTGACATAATTTCAAGTATCATTCACCTATATTGATGGCAAATATTTCACTCCTTACATATTTATATTCTCCTAGTTTCATAGCCAGAAAACTACAACTGGATCACCGAATCAGAATTAAATGATTAACATTATTACTCTGTAACAGTTGACCAAAGTCAATCTTATTATAAACTTCTTGGTGTTACCATCGCAACAAATAATATTATTACCTTAAAAATCCTGATATATTAATGAACCAGATGACGTGAAATCGCCATATAATTTTATCTGCATTCGTTCGCTTCTTTTTTTCTACAATACAGCGATATTCACTATTATAACGACTCATTCTCCATAGAAAACCTCTCTTGAAAGATAGATAGGTAGATATTATCAAGGTTTGGCTTGATGATTTCGAACAAATTGAGCATTGGGTAGATCGTTGTAAATAAGGTGATATTTATTTGTAATGTCCCAATGAGTAAAAAAAATTAGATTTTCCGACGTTTCGTGATTCAGTGTGAGCCACTTCTTCAGAGAATAAATAACCAAGTCAAAATTATTCCAAGTTTTAACAGTTCAAAGGAACAACGCAAAAATATTATGTGCGATCAATAAAAAACTGCTCTGAACAAGTCATTGTCATGTCATTTCGGTCAAGATGATTTATAAGCAACATGTATGTAAATTTATGTGTACGTACAAATTTTTGTTTATTTTCATTTATTCTCTCAAGAAGTGGCTTAAACTGAGTCACGAAACGTCAGAAAATCTCATATGTATTGTATAAACAGATGATTTGTAATTTTAAGGTGGTGGAGCTGGTAATGGAATGATTATATTACATCTAAACCCCCTACTGGTCATATTGAATAGCTTGGCAGTTATAATAAATCGGTTCGTGAATTTGAAGACTATACTTTTTAATCTCGTTACAAATTCACTTATAAGTTTAACAACCCGTAATGTTGATAATCAGAATCTAATGTTCTGGGTTTCTAACATTAGTAAATTCATGATATTAATATGTAGTTCACGTCTTCATGACTAACTTTTGTTCAGAAATGAGCAATCTACAATGTAGAAACTAGAAGAAAACTACCATAAGTCAAAACCCAGTGAAATCACTTAGATAAAACTACATTCACAACTTAAATTGGCATTCAACTGAGTCAAACAAGCTTAAACAGGTAACCTTCAGATTCCTCAAAAAATATTATATCATCAATTTATTTTTTTCGGATTTCACTCTTTTCCGTTGTGAACTTCAGTCACTCAATGATGTGGATTTGTTTTCATTCAATGCTGCCAACCGCATAATTGATAGTCATCAATAAAATGCAGTTTTTATAATTATTTAAATAAATATTGTATTTAGTAGTATTTCATTTACCACTTTTGTTTTTATTCGTGTAATCTGCTTACCGAATATCAACAACACAAAGACACTAATTCCAAAATATGTACTCTTTCAGATCATAATGTACACAGAATATCTTCTGTTAATGATAATCATAACAGTGTGCTTTTTTAATTATTATCATAGAACAAAATGAATCGAACAATAAATTCATAATTCATAGTTGGATTGACAAAAATAGTTATTTGTGTGGTATCCAATCAGAATCAATAATGCGACTTAAAGGTTTTTGTGAGAAACTCTGATATCACTTATAACTGGAACTAGAAATACCATCATATACTGGACAAAACTTTTAAAATTTAAGCGAAAAATTATTTCTTACAATCAGAGTGAAAATCATGATATTAAATTTCCCTAATGCTGGCAAATGGACACTATCTATAAATTCTTATTCTAAATCCTTGATCCTGAAACAATCCTTAACCTAATGGCACTACGCTTTATGGAAGAACTAATGAGTGCTTCTTGTATTTTTGAGCGAACTTCATCCGTCCATGTGGCTAAAAGAAATTTCTATTTTGTAAGTGATGTCTATTCGTGATGAAAACCGCAGCCCTAACCAAGAACTATTTTGGGACCCTTGGAAATTTCTTTGACCATTTAAAGGTTCGAGAATATGAACAATCTATGCCCATCAAGACGAGTTTATACATTTTTCAGAGTAACCTGTAGAGGACATTAACAGACTTATTATGTCAAATCTCTTTGCATATGGCAATATTACTATTTTACTTCCATAAACTTTACTTACAAAATTTGTTCTCTAATTGTCTAGAAAGTAATCGGGAATTCGTCGGAGTTTTTATAAGCTCGTTCCTACACTATACTTGTCCCACCAACTTGACATGATTACAGGATATAATGATAGCGTATTGACTAATTAAGTATGAACCATACTGTAAATGTGACGGGTAATCATACTAACTGGTTGTTTAAATTGAAGTAGAAGGGAATTCGAACTTAAGACTTAGTGGCCCAAAGATTGAAATAGTCAGCCAAGAGTAATGGACCAGTCGCTACACTTCAAATCATCACAGCAAAAAAAGCAACATGATACGAAACAGCAGGTTAAATGATATCAAATGTGACGAGAAGCTAGACATAAAACATTAACATACTGTTACAGTATCGGATGATATTGAAGTACTAACTTTAAACTCAAGATTTAGAAATCAGAAAATAAATGGGATACGTCTTAGATTATCATAGCCAACTTCCCCAATCATAGACGACTATCATCACGGAGATCCTATCTAAGAAGTCCACCCTAAACAACAAAGTTCAGTCGAACACCCAATGACTTAAATGACCGGTGTATTCCATTTGTTTGAGCGTATATAGTTTATTCCTCCGTAAATCAAGTAAACAGTAGTATAACGTGATACAACAAGAAATTCCAACAACCTACAAACGTAGAAGCAAGCGCGGATAGACATTATTGCATCAGTCAGTCATATACATTTTACAACTTGACGCATGAGTGTTGATTCATCCCACACTAATATTAGCATTGCAAGACAGAAACCCAGACAAACCTCAGAGTAGCAGAAGCGATGTAATAGTAGTAATAGAGAAGATTGGAAGTTCGAAAAGAAAAGAAACAAAAAAGTATAAAGAAAAATTCAGGATTCCGGAAATAAGAGTAGACAAATAATTAGTGTGCCTGGGCAATTGTGGACGATTCTGGGCCACATCATTAACCATTGGTTACCATAGTCCCATGAACTCCAACCAGATAGTTTGCATTTAACTACATAGCTCAGTAAAATAGTCAATAACTTCATGGACTGGTCCGAAACCTTGGTTTGACTATACCCCAAACTATCTTTCAGTCTGCTCCCACACTAGGCAACATACAGCCCCAAGTTAGGTAGCTAAGAATGAACTTGTTAAAGAATTAAATAATAATTACTTTCGTGCAATGTATTATATATATGTATCACAGAGGGTGATATAAATCACCACGATTGTTAACTCGATTAGTATGAACAAAATAACTTAAAAATATAGAAATGTATAGTGTTTATTATAAGATGTACGATTTTTGTCTCAGAATATATGACGAAAGAACCAAGAAAGAAACAGTGAATGTGCTATATCTATATAGTTGATGCATTAATGTGTATGAGTGCTTAAATAAGGAACATAAACACAAACACAATCATAATAAACGGTGATAATAATGATAGTAACAATGTGTAACAATCATACAATGCAGGAATGAAAATATACAAAAACAGGAAAAAAAAGAAATGAACATTGTTCCGAAAAAAACAACCGGCGGTACAATATATCGCATAATGTTTGATTTGTTAACAAAAGATATGTCTTTCTTTTCATTCTCCAATGAAAAAATTGTTTTTCAGGGGCTTTTTCACACTAGTTCACCATTTTAGTCGACTTTTACAACTCCGTAAATTTTTCGAACAAACCAGAAACACGCGTAAAAGCCAATAGAACCTGACGAAGATAATAACAAGAGTAAATATTTTTAGAATGTTGTAGAACAGCATATAAAATTCAGCCACTAGAAATACTGATAATTGGTAACCGATATAATCTAAGAATAGAAAAATGGGGGAATAATAGTCAATAACAAGTGTTCATATCCCCCCTTGCTAAAGTCTCATTGAAATCTAAGTGCAACTTCTAATCAATTATGGGCTGTGATGTAATCGACTTTACATAAAGGATATCCGACTGTCCAAATGAAGTAAGTGTTAAACAAGTGACCTAATGGTTAAATCACAACTGTTTCAATCACTGAACCACTAAGCTTCCCAACTGTCTAGTATGAAAAACAAACTCTAAGTTAACAACCAGCAGTATCACATACTGGAATACGGGACCAAAATGAGTTGTTGGATAAAGCAAGTAACTCGGTGATAGGACTACATTCTTGTGAATACACAGTCCTAATTTTATATCTAACACTTAATTACCCCTCGTGGGACATAAACTGCTGAATAAGGATATCCAGTCAACTCTTTAATACACAATAGTAATTCATTCAAAAACCATGTAATCAATGAGTTAGATGTGGGAACACGTGGGACAAAACAACCACGAAAAATTGCTATTATGATTATTATCACAGGAAACAACTTGGTTCAATGATAACTAACAAAGAAATCGATGGCTATATTATGATGATAAGTCAAAATAATGTAAACTAAGCTTACGTGAGCAACACTATGTATAATAGTCTAATTTATCAAACCTGAGGTACTATATAAAAATGATACAAGCTCTTGAATTTACATTTCTTAACCGAGGGCGGGAGTGTTGATACACGACTAGGAATTTTATTTCATGGATGGACTGACCATTGGAAATATTTTGTAAATTACAACATACACTGTACATCGAGATGCGGATTTCCTTGAGCGACCGCACTTTCAGTTAACAGTGCATGCTTCGAGAACATGTTGATCATCGATCGTACCAGCTTACATCAGATCGAAATAAAAACTGGGAGCCATTTAAATAAAAAAGGTATTCGATAATAAGTACGTATTATATGATAAGATCAACTTGCTTACTGGTAAATAAAAAGTTAAGCCATAAAATGATGGCTGTATAACCGAAATAAAGGAATGCCGAGACTGCATCTTGAAATTCTAAACGTGTCACAAAATAATGAATGGAATAAACAAATAAATAGAATGATGTTCCAGCTCCTGTATATAGTGAACGCCACCACCAGCGATAATCCTATAACAGAATACAACAACAAATTTCAATTTTGATAAACAATTTTCTTTTCATATATTTATGTTTAATGATATTGATAAACCAAAGAGAGAAAACGAATTGTACACCTAAATGATATGACCGGCTGGTTTGGACATGGTTCATTGGACAGTGAGTGAATGGTCTGCAAAAGTGATTTCATCCGATCGCCTGTGACATTTGATCATTTTTATTTTGTTATATAAATTTGTATGTTGTTTGACAGCATAAAACTTTTTCTTTTGACAGATGGCTATATATTTTAACTCGAATTATTCGGGGATTTACGTCAAACGTTTATTCTCGTAAACAGCCATTCACTACTCGGACACAACATATCGCTGGACAACACATATCATGCAATCAGGATTCTTTAACAATCGAAGATTCGTACTCCCTCCGTATCGCTAAGAGTCGAATTTAATACTGAAATGATAGAACCACTAAGATTCAGTATTCAACTAAATAAAAATATTAGTCATTGATAACGATGTTGATTGAGTTAGTTGAATTTCGTCATCCTCAATACGAACATGAGTAATCTATGTCAATTATTTATGATATATAAAAAGCTTACTTCAAATGATGAACAGTAAAAAATATAGGATGTAAAAACGAAAGGATAATACTATCAAGTCAGTGTCTTTTATGTGGTTTGTACAATTCTTTCAATCTAAAGGTAGTCAGTATTTTGGAAGTTATTGGTAGCAGACTCATACCTCAAAGATTATTACATGTACCACACGCTTTCAGAACAATCGATTTAATTTGAAGTGACAATTCCTTTCAAATAACCCAATTTCGATACCTAAACAAAACTGTTTTTAAGACCAATACTTATTAAGATGAGCATGGCAATTCAGTTACTTTCTGTGGTACTTGACCAAATAAACTGGTTTCCGAAATATCTTACCCATAATTCTTTAAATACTGTTAATCAATGTGTAGTCAACTTAATAAACTTTTACTGACATCGGTTTTCTTAGTGATGTGATTGGTGAATTGGACCAAATTTTTGTGTTTATCAAATGCAGTAGGGACTCAAATCTAAATCGGAAATCATTGTTCAGTTGTAATAGTAGGTGTAACTAATTTGCATACATTTATTAACTTACGATGACTAGTATGTTGACCACTAAGACATAAGACGACTTTGAAAAATACTACAATATGGTCAAATAGAAATCTTGATGTTCTAAAGTAATGATGGTTCTGGTATACATTCACTCTCTCACCACATGAAGTACACAAAAGCCTATAAGAACATCCATTGTACATGTTTCAACTAGAAACAGCATGTAGTTCAAAATTACTGTTCACAACAGATAAGAAAGACTGTGGGAACAACCCAGTAATTATTTAAGAGTGTGTTAGTTTACAAGGCTTAGATAACCTTGAATTAGTGTCTATTCAATTAAACTGTCGATCAAAAAAAAGCAATACACTAAAATCAAATCGAATCATCAAAAAATGACTGATAATTAAACAGTTGACAATATTATTTCCATTGTGAAAATTAGAACAACATATATATATTATTTCCTTTTATAACGCAGCTTGTGTAATAATTGATAATTGTATTGTTTATTGTTTTGATATCCTCAGCTACTTCTACTGTAACACTAGAAAGAAGACGCGAAATGCGAATGAAAGCTTTACTCTAAGGTTAGTTTATGTAAAGAAAAACGAGGGCGTTTGTAGTACTGCACCTGACATTGCACTACTAGAAATTTCCGGAACCATACTAAATATAGTAATAGCATACGTAAATATCTTATCAAACCTGTGGTACGTGATTCTGTATTTTTATGTGTTTCTACAAAAATTCTATTCAACGCCGATTCAATAAAATGTTTCCTGAGGTTTCTGAGCTTTGGGGACCTTGACGAGAAATTTTTTGGGACTCCATCAATACTGAACTCCCAAAAACTACTACTAGCTAGTACACCGCAGAAAATAGAAGTGCGGTATATATATATATTCTCCCAAGAAAAAAACAAAAATATTGAATAATTAGTGGTGAAATAAACAAGAAACCCACCTCTCCACACAGTTGAAAATAACACATTAGTATAGATGTCTCAGATATTGTAATGACCAGCATAATGAAAACTAAGAATAGAAAACCAAACATATAGTAAAATTGTGCTCCCCATATGCTATTGAATATAAAAAATAATTGAATGAATATACAACTGAACGGCAATAATCCACCAATGAAAAATGCCGTCAACGGTCTACTATAGAAACTTTGATAAGGTATTTGTCGTGGTATTTGATTAGTACGAACAGGAGTTTCAAATACCTATAAATAAAATTACATAAAAGACTTTAATTAAAAAAGACAGCAAATGAAATTAAATATACTAAATAAATTATCCAGTCGGATAGGGAAGTTCCGGACCAAAGGTATACATATGCGCCACTGGAATTATTTTTTTAGTAGTTTAGGTAACGAACTGATCTTAGCTAGACCACCATAGAAAACCAGGAGACGTTGACCAGTAGTTTAATCCTGATATGGGACTCCTGAGCATTACTCGTCCACTAACTTTGTCACCGTTGCATAGGACCCAAGACCTTTAGCCTCTAAATCGAATTTCCCCTCATTTCCCAAGGAAAAATAATTTATGTAATTGGCTTAGCGCAACATTTCGATTGTGAAGCCTCAGTTGTCTGGGCCGAAGTAGGTAGAGAGGAGTTTAAACCACCAATCGGTTAAGTGGCAGGAAGCTGAAAGCCCTAACTACTGAGTTCCCGCTCCTTACATTCCGTAGTAATAGAATATAAGCACATTTTGAGATCAAATATCGAAACACCAGAACTAAACTTGCTTTAGAAACTGTTTGAAGTTAAAAAATCATTAACAATCGATCACTGATTAACAGCTTAAAACAGAGTACTGATCAAAATTCAAACAAAATATTAACTACCGGAAGGATAAGCCACTTACAAATAATAAATATGTTAAACGTCGGATCAAGTTAGTGACCAACTGAACTACGTAGCTTAATGGATATTGCGCTAACATTTGAAGCGATTGGTACAACGTACGAGTGTCGGTTGGAACATAGGCACTAAGGCATAGGTACACTGGCCAAAGCAGGGCAACGAGACGAGTGTCGTAGGTTATATTTCTGGCCATGATCAAAATCACACTAAAACTTAGTGAAAGGATTTCATTTTCTTCAAATTTTACGAATATTCGTCAGTGGTTATACATTGAGTAACAAATAATCGAACTACTCCACACTTACTGGCTTCCTGAAACCGAAGAATGCTCCAAGAAAACACAAGGGTAGACTAACACAAAGCCAAAGTGCTAAAAGTGCCACTATAGTGCCAAATGGAGTAGCAGTTGCACTATCCAAAATCCAAAGTGCGACATTCAAAATAAGAAACATTGAAAAAACTAAGGCAGGACAAACTGTTGCAGTTAGTATAACATTAGTTTTCCATCGCAAACCGCCGAAAAATTTGTAGATTCGAGCTGAAGCATAACCTACAGGTAAAATAAAAGAGTAAAATGAATAAAATGGGATAGTAACTCAATAATTTCACGAAATATCTTATGATAACATATTGCAGGAAACAGATTTTTAACGTGGATTAAAAACTTCAGTGAACATCATGAAGGCTGTAAAAATGATAGATGGTCTAGATAACCATCGAGCACTTGTACTGGTGAAAACATTCATGCTGTATAACCTCTTGTTCTTTTCAGCAGCCAAATAATTTGTCCACATGATTGATGACAAGCACTTAGAAACAATGCTTGAAATGCGTTTCTCCACCTCTAAATGCAAAGTGTTACTTCAGAACTGGCTTGCGTCAACACCTGAACTAAGGATAAAGAGTAAAGTAGTCGAACGCGTCGAAAACTTCACTTGGAAGTTTGACCAACCCTAATGGGTTGGTGTCTAACAAAATCTTTGCACGGATTCAGAAAGCTCGTTTGGCTTTTGCCAACTTATGTCACCTATGGCGAAGGCGAGATATCCGTCTATCAATTAATGGACGAGTAAACTGTGCAGTGGTTCGCTCTGTTCTACTTTACGGCTGCGAAACGTGGCCATTAAGAGTAGAAGATAATCGTATGTTACTAGTATTTGATCATAGATGTCTTAGAAATATTGCTCGCATCTGCTTGAATCACAACGTAAGTAATAGTGAAGTTAGACGCTGTATATTAGGGAATGATGGCAAATCAGTTGATGAGGTGGTGAATCTTCATCGACTAAGATTGTTGGATCAAGTGTTACTTATGACTGAACACCGACTACCACGTCGCGCAACGCTGACTAATATTGCAGACGGTTGGAAGTTAATGGCGACCAAACCAAAACATGGCATCAGTGCTTGAAGTCACTAACTTCTAGTCTGAGCCATGTTGGTAGATGCAAACTACTTGGTTGGGGTCCGTGTGACTATCGTAACCAATGGTTGGAGATTCTGGGTGACATGCTTCAAAATCGATCACAATGGTGTAGGTGGATACACTGTTTGACTTCCCTCAAACCGTGAAATTAAAATTTCTACAAACTACTTCTTTCTTCCTGTATTATATTCTTATATCCAATCCTTCTTTTATATATTACTACCATTCAAGTAACTACTTCTATGAATTTTGTGTTCATCTTGTTATGCTAATGAGGTATGGCAACTTGGACCGATGCATATATGTGTCTGGTCCTAAATTGTAACTGACTGACTGACGAATACATAGAAATCGTATATGAATTCCATTCCAGAACAATACTCGATGATAAAGTGTAATACAGTGAGGGAGATTAAGAGCCAAACTTTTGAAGAACTCCACGAGTATTTTAAACAATAGGAATAGAGAGAACTGTCACAGGCCGTTACTCAACTATGAAGGCATTTAGTTATCTCTCTTGGAACGTACAGCATAGACGTGGGTTAACTAAAAGATTATCGTATTTCTATTAATTCTACCCCAAATGCTCTAGCACGACTGTGGTAGAGGAGTGTCCACTCTCCCCCCAAAATGCTCTCACATAGCCACGCCTATATAGTCACTACCGGGAAAGTCCCACTGACTTCTCATGGCAGGGGTGTTGTTTACGGAATTGAGAGGACGAAAATCGAATGTCCGGAGCTCTAACCGGGTTGGCAGACACGGAGGGCCAACTTGGGGTAGTTGGAGAACCCTGATTCTAAACCAGTGGTGCACATGGGCTTCAGGATCCTGATGGGACAAATGGAGTATGAACCAATCGTTGGCCACCGGCTACTATGGGACTGTATTTCCTGACGTTGCTCCACTGCCTTGTGGATTAGACCTTTAGGTTGAAGGCTCCGGATGTGGCTCCGTAAGAAAACCACCTGCTTCTGTCTGGGTACCCGGGCAATATCACCGCTCACACATAAATCAAGTGACTTGCGTGGCGCATATGCATTCGGTGCCCCCTTGTACCAATATTTATGTGCTCAAATAAATAGATAAATAATTCTGCGTTGGAATTCGTATATTGTACGTTTAGCACAAATTTAACTATAGATCAAATGATTACCTTTATATATGAAGTTATAAAACTGGTTGCATGCGGAGTCAGTAAAAAATTAACCCGAAAAAGTGATTGTATTGCGACAAACGGGAATATTTTGAAGTAGGTAAGGTTAATATGCCCCAAATTGACGCTTTTATAATCTCAACTCGCATATTTACTGAACAGCTAACATACACGGATGGATGTTTCAGACCATTCATAACGTTGGTTCACTTTTCGATGGACAGCTTAGAATTCAATGATAAATGAACACTGTTCGGGAATAAATGTTAACACCTGTCAGATGTTTAGTCGTTCCGCTTGTACTATTTTATCTTGAAGTTAGATTCAGCAGAGCAATTTGCAATAAGTAATATGAAAAAATACAATGCAAAATCGTATATTTAACTGATTGCGATTTTTGTTCAGCATTACTTCCGTCTTTAATTCGATAAGATGATAATAATCTTTGTTATTTATAATATTTGTTTTATTTTCAGTATGATATTTATTTCATTATAACATTGATTCATTTCAGTATGACAATCTTTGCATTTAATCCTTATGAAATTCGTAGCTTGGGTTTTTGCAGTAACTCTGTTTTTCCCTTAAGTGTGATAATTTTTAACTTAACATCAAGTGTGAACAACATCAATATATAAATAAAGGAGTGTATTCATGTATCCTTTCGATTTACTTCTGGGGTCAAATAAATCCATATCAGCAGTTTTTGTGTTTTCCCAACGCGTCGTTGGATTCTGGGTTTCCAGTACCAAGTACAAGTCCGCTAGCTATTCGACAAAATCAACAGTGACAGATATAGAAACGGGTATATCCGTTTACCAAGTAAATATTTGTGTAACCTGATATGAGTAATAGAGTCTGTAACAGCTGGTGATATGTCTAAGCGACTGATCAAACCAAACTAAATACAGTAATTGTCGAACTTGCAAGTCACCGCCTATACATAACTAACTACCTTACATGTACAAATCGATCAACTAAACACAGTTCATAAATATTATCGTTTAACTTATAACATTTTATACTGAAAAGTGACTGACAACTATAAGTTGTTTTTTTAAAAAAAAACAATGAATACTTGAGAATATATTATGACTTTACCTGAAGAAGCTCCTAAACAAGCGAATACAGCCAAAGCACAAGTCATTAACGCACCACGATTGGCTGGACTTAAAAATCCAAGACATGCAAAAAATAGGGTGACCAATAACATTTGAAAGATTTGAACTCCTGAGCCGACAACAACTGAGAAAAGCATACCCCAGTTAGGCGGACGAAATACATCACCGTGAACTAATTTCCAGCCAGATTCCTCTTGAACAGCGGTCTAAATAATGTAGAAAATACAACATGGGATAGTATGCACAAAAGAGGCCAAATATGCAAGGACGACAGGACAAATATCACTTACAGCGCTTTCAAGTTCTGTGTAACGAGCAATATCACGACGTAGTGTACGCAGAAGAATGGTTGCAAGAAGACCAGAAAGGAATATTGTTAACACACATGAATTCAAAATAGATAACCACTGAATGTTACTTTGAGGCATTGTGTCCAAAATATAATCCCAACGAGATGACCATTTACGCGTTAGATCCTCCTATAGTTTAAGTGAAATCAATGAGATAGATCAGTTAAATTTGAGGATAATTTTCGTAATAGAATTATTATCTGGAAGACCATCGAAAACTAGAAAGTGATGAGCAGTTCTCTAATCTAAGTACAGGACTCGTCATCAGTCCCTAACCAGGACTCCCAGTTCTCACGGTACTCCCTTTAGACCGCTAGGCTGGAACATAATATTGAATGAGGAAGAACATGAAAGAATGAACTTAGTCCTGGAAGATATTATTTAGCACAAACAATAATAAACTGTAACGAAATACATATCTCTACCTTTAAATTAAAACCAATCTCCACAAACACTGGATTAAACATGCAAATACACATACTTAAAATATAACTAGAAAAATTAAACAATGTATCTGAAGAAAGTAGAAACAGATCATTAGTAGGTGAAACCACATTACAGAATGGACTTCCATGAGTGGTACGCACTTGCGCTAATCGAGTCTGTTGGAATAGAACTTAAAATAGAATCAGTTCATGAAATTGTAAAAATTAAATGACTTGATGTTGTATGAAATGTTAAAACGTAATCCAAAATCTTTCAAGAAAGTAATATCAAATGAACAAAACAACGTTTATCACTACTCATTATATGTGCTTTCAGACATTTTGTCGTGTCTACTTTTAGCGTCTTTCTTCAAGTGTGACTTGTTAACTATGTACAGGTTTTTGTACTCGGCTTTAACCTGTACACATGTTGTATGATTATTATCAGTAACACTGGAAAATTGTTTAAATTAAAGTAAATGGACTAAATGGGGTTCGAACCTGCAAACCTGTGACTGGAGGTCAGTCGGTATCATTATGTCACGCTATGCTTTAGAAGACATACATATACAATTTTTGATAAATCCACTTACTTCGAATGTTACGCTGTATGTGTAAGTTATTTTAAGTTCATCCTTTAAATCAGACGGGAGTATTAATGACTGCTTTGATGTACAATCCGGTGCATTGTTTGGATGAGCAATACTATAAAATAAATAAATAAAACAAGGTATGTGAGAAGATTACGAACATAACGCAGCTGTAAATCAAAAAGTATCCACTGATATCCATTTCAAGAATAGGAAATATAAAAAACATGAAGAAAAGCAAGTGTACACAATTACATTTCAGTAGATTGAAAATTTGACAGATTAAGCCTGACCAATAGAAGATTTCTGGCAAACTGAGATTGGATTTAATCAATATGACATTCAATTTATTCACAAGTAACTTCATTAGTGTTTATTTCTTGGTATTTCGCAACACCAATAAGAAGTCATTGTTAAGCCATGTGAAGTAGCATTGAAAGGAAAAATCAGGTGAGTCGGGTGAGATAGAATCTCCGATTAATATCTTATCCTAGAAGTGCATAGCGTAATTTTTTGAGTGAAATTCGGAAATACATTGCCATCATCTTTATAATTAGTGTGACAAATGAATGATATTAAAAACTTAAATATATGAACGTCAGACTGAAAATGTCGGCCATATTACTTAAACACATAAATACTGGTACAAATGATACCACAATATACGCCACACAAATCATTGAATGTGTGGACTAGCATACTGTGCAGTTGCCCAAACCGAAGCAGATAGTTTTCTTGAGGAGGAACATCCCGAGGCAGTGGAGTGGTGTTAGGAGATGCAGTTCCATAGTGTCCGGTGAGCAAATATAGTACCATACGCTGTTTGTCCCTTCAGGATTTTGGAGCCCATGAGCACCATTGGTTTGGATAGTTTTCCGACTCCTCTAGGTGGGTCTTCCATACCTATTGACTTTCGCTGTCCAACGTTTAAACTTCAAAAATGCAAAACCATCGAGCAACAGATGTTCTGACTCAGTTAATACATAATTCGTGCACTCAACTGTTAGCCATACTCTGGTCATATGAGGATTAGAGATACACATTGAGTATCCAAAACGAACGTGGATAGAGGTCTGAACCTGTGACTTAATGGATAAAAACTCAAGTAATAGATGTATTCAATAAACAACTTTCAATTAATCACAAGGTTTAGTAATGATAATACATTATATACAGTTTCATGTAGTCGGTGATAATACATGAAAGAATAGCGGGTCTACGACAATAGTGATGCTATTCTGTGATCGCAAGAGATAATCACTTTCATACAAGATCATTCAACAACTTATCTTTTCTGAATCACAAGGACAGTACAATCTGTCCTTTGAAAAAAGAGCTCAGTTCAAATATTTTATAAACCATACATTCATAAATAAGCTTTCATAAATAAAACGGATGAAACACTTGATAATTAGAATACAGTAATGAGGAAAACGAAGATCAAAATTAATATCAGATTTTAATTTGAAAATGAGATTTTTTCTGAGGTTTCTTCAAGTGCAAAACATAAAATCACAACAACTTATAATAAGTAGCCTTATATCTTACCTACTAGGACTGGCAATCACTGACAGAATACGTCCAGCTTTAACATTTCCTGCCCTACTCCATGAATCTTTAACAGGATGATAGACAATGTGCAGACTGACATGATTCAACAAGATCGTACGATGTTTGGCCAAAGGCTGTTTGGAAAAGAGAACATATATTATATATGAAAATCATTTTGTAAGCACCAATAAAACATAATCGAAGTTATATTAAATACCCAATACCTCAAGCTCAGCTTCTTAAAGATAAGAGGGGTATTAGGTTTTGTCAACTGAAATGGTTGTAAGAATGGGGTTCGTTAAGTCAGTCAGAAATCTTAATGTAAAGATGGTTAAACTAATATTGTTAATCTACTCAGAGTAGCTGATATAAATGTAATGCACGTATGAATCATAACATTTCAAATCACCACAATAAGACGAAATCAACTGAAGGGAGAGTAAGAAACTGAATACAGCAATACTAAAACCAGTAAAAGAAACCAAGTATAAGCAAAAAAAGAAATCAGATGATGAAATGTAGAAAATAATTCAATGCTTAATACTAATGGAACAATCAATATCGTCTCAATTTTCTAACCATCAAATACGTTTACTTAGCGGATGACAACCAATAAACGTATTCTCCTGTGAAAACATGACAATGAATTTTAGTGCTGGCGCAGTCACAGCCTGCCGACGGGTGGCGGTTACTCTTGTAACAAAGTAAATATTTACCTATCAGATATTAAATTATCCCAATATGTTTACAAACACTGTGTCTTGTATCACCACTTCATCTTAAAGACGGATAAATTTAACCCAACAACGATTCCGAACTTCAATTAACAAGTTGAGAATTTTTTCAACTAAATCCTGATATTTTCTTACGATCGTATACTGTCTGTAGATACGTTTGATTTTGCACTGATAATATTGAGACAAAAATGCACATTGCAACGAAATATTCCGTGTCGTTACTAAGTACAAAAATGTGTTTCCAGACAAAAAACTGGAACTATTATTTACAAAGCTAAAACTTTTGTGATAGCTGAAGGAGTAAGGTTAACCTGACGTTGGGTATTATGATTTAATTTATCACAGTAAATCAATCACTTAGATGCAACGTACAACCTGCCGCATGTGTGCACAGGTTTATGCTTTCACATCCCATGACAAGTTTTCAGGGCGTATTCCGGAGTAATAAAGGTAGTAACAGTACTAGTGGTAATAGAAAAGACAAGACATCGAAGATATAATTCGAGAAAATTTAAATTAGTGAAATAATTCAAAAATAAATTTAGTAGGAATGAAAAAGCTTGGAATCTAAAGGAAAACAAAGAGCGAATGCACCTAGGCTATTGCAAACGATTCTAATGCATGTCGACTAAAGTTTTTAGCCATTGGTTATGATAATCAGGCGGATCCCAAACAGGTAATCTTCATCTACATGGCTCAGCCCAATAGTCAAACACTTCACGGACTGATGCCAAATCTTGAATTGGCCACCACTAACCTTGTTTCAGACTGCTCCTAAAGATAACATCGCCCGCCGAGGTTGGTGGTGGCAGGCACAAGCAAAATATGTTCAAACCACCTCAGTTGGTGAAGACGTACTACTGTATCACCCGACTTACCATCTTTATCCAGTACCCTACGTTTAACCTCGGCATTGCTCACTAAGTGGTCCCAAAATATACGAGCGATGTTTCGAAAACGCCTATGACTAAATACTTATAACCTACGAATATTGTCTCAAAAACTAAATTTTAAAGCCATAAAGTAGAACGGAGTGAAGTGCTGTGCAACAAGACCGTTCCGTATTGGGTATATGAATAACTCCCTTACACCTCAAGTGATCCAAGCCGTCAAAGGTGAACCGAGACTTCGTCAGACACTAATCCAGTAGGGTTGAGACTTATAAAATAAGCGAGGCGGTTGACACGCTCAACTACTTCATTCCTTATCATCAAACTCAGACATTGACGTACACAAATTCTGAAGCAATATTTTGCATTTAGTGGGAGAAAATCACATTACAAACATGCTCACATTGTTACTTTAGGCATTCATAAGATCTTGTAATTTTTCAGCGTCTTCATCAGATAGAACCATATCACCTGCGTACTCTAGGTCAACAAGTGAATCTCCTGACAGGAGGCTAACCCCTGAAAAGTCAGACGATAAGTGTGACTTATGACACAATGTATGTGACAAAAACGCCTGTAGCTCTTCCAGAGTTACTGCCGGTCCCAAGCCCAGGTAAAGAGGAGGGTTGGACATGGGGTTAGCGTCCCCATCCCGTAGAAAACTAACTCATTAAAAAACGCTAACCAGAAAAAACAATTCAGACCACGTAAACTCTGCCCTGGGAGTTAAAAGGCCTTCATTTAGAACTATGATGCCTCATGGTGAAAGCCGAGTTCCTTCGGAAGCCACGAGGCCGATGTCCCTTCTTACAACCAGAGTAACAATTTTTATAGGTACATGGAATGTCCGAACAATGTGGGAGACCGGGAAGACCAGTCAAATAGCAATGGAAATGAGGAGATACAAACTGGCAGTACTGGGAATCAGCGGAACCCATTGGATCCAAGCTAGACAACAAAGGCTAAATACGGGAGAGATGCTACTATACTCCCGTCATGAAGAGGAAGATGCTCCGCACACTCAGGGAGTTGCTCTAATGCTGTCCAAAGCAACACGAAACGCACTTGTGGGATAAGAGTCTCACGGATCCAGAATCATCAAAGCATCATTGAAAACAAAGGAGGGAATGACAATGAATGTTATCCAGTGTTATGCATCCACCATTGAAAGAATAAGACGATCTAGCAATGCAATTGTGTTTAATATACCGGATACACATGCCCTTAAAAATATCAAATCTAGTCTGCTTAGAGCACCCACCAATGACAGCAATGACGACGATAAAGATCAATTCTACGATAGGCTGCATTCAATCATAGAGAAGTGCCCAAGAAAGGACCTCACCATTCTGATGAGTGATCTAAACGCCCAAGTCGGAATAGACAACACTGGATATGAAGATATCATTGGACGACATGGACTGGGTGAGATAAACAAAAATGGGGAAAGATTTGCAAATCTGTGTGCATTTAACAAATCGGTCATAGGAGGCACAATATTTCCACACAAACGTATGCACAAAGCTACATGGATCTCACCGGACCACACCACAGAGAACCAGATACATCATATTTGCATCAATAAAAAATTCCGAAGGACAATGGAAGATGTGAAAACCAGGAGAGAAGTTGACATAGCTTCAGATCACCACCTAGTTGTGGCCAATTTAAAACTGAAGCTAAAGAAGAACTGGACAACTGGACAAACAGCACTACAAGGGTTCAAGACAGCCTTCCTTCGAGATACTAACAAACTCAACGAATTCAAGATAGCTCTCAACAATAGGTTCCAAGCCTTACAAGATCTACTGAAGGAAGAAGAAACTACTATGGAGGACAACTGGAAAGGTATCAAAGAAGCATTAACTTGGACGTGTCAAGAGGTTCTGGCCTCAAGAAGCATCATCATAAGGAATGGATCTCTACAGAAACACTGGACAAGATCAAAGAAAAGAAGAAGACAACAATTAACAACAGCCGAACACGAGCAGGGAAAGTCAAGGCACAAGCCGAAAACACAGAAGCAAACAAGCAAGTGAAGAAGAGCATTAAAGCCGATATGCAGAAATACGTGGAAGAACTAGCAACGACGGTGGAAAAAGCTGCAAGAGAAGAAAATACGAAAAAGCTTTATGATACAACGAAGAAACTAGCAGGGAAATATAGTAGACCAGAGAGACCGGTCAAGGACAAAGAGAGCAGGCCAATCACTGAAATTCAAGAACAGCGGAACAGATTAGTAGAGTACTTTGAGGAACTTTTCAATAGGCCGGCTCCAATGAATCCACCGGACATCGAGGCAGCACACACAGATCTTCCTATAGATGTCAATCCACCAACGATGGAAGAAATCAGGATGGTCATCAGACAAATCAAGAGTGGGAAAGCAGCAGGACCTGACAATATAACAGCTGAAGTACTGAAGTCAGACATCGAAGTAACTATAAACATGCTTCACCTTCTACTCAAGAAAATTTGTGAGGAGGAACAAGTGCCGATGGACTGGGAAGAAGGACACCTCATCAAGATTCCAAAGACAGGAAATCTGAGCAAATGTGAAAAATAAAGAGGCATCACACTACTGTCAGTACAAGGGAAAGTCTTTAACAGGGTTGCTGAACCGGATGAAAGACGCAGTAGACGCTCAACTTCGAGATCAACAGGCTGGATTCCGTAAGGATCGGTCGTGTACAGACCGAATTGCGACACTACGGATCATCGTCGAACAATCAGTTGAGTGGAACTCGTCACTATACATCAACTTCATTGATTATGAAAAGGCGTTTGACAGTGTAGATAGGAGAACATTATGGAAACTTCTTCGACACTATCGAGTCCCTGAGAAGATTGTCAACATTATCCAGAACTCACACGACGGACTACAGTACAATGTCGTGCATAGAGGACAGCTGACAGGTGCATACCAAGTAAGGACCGGATTCAGACAAGGCTGTCTACTCTCCCACTTCCTCTTTCGTCTGGTGGTCGACTGAATTATGAAAACCTTGACATCCGAGGGAAAACACGGAATACAATGGACAGCTCAGAACCAATTAGACGATTTGGATTTTGCAAATGACCTAGCCCTCCCATCCCATACACACGAACAAATGCAGATAGAGACAGACAGTATAGCAGCAGTTTCTGCATCAGTAGGCCTCAACATACATAAGGGGGAAACTAAGTCCCTCAAATACAACACGGTGAGCACCAACCCAATCACGCTTGATGGTAAATTTTCGGAAGAGGTGGAGTCTTTCACGTACCTGGGTAGCATCATTGATGAATGTGGAGGATCTGATGCAGATGTAAACGCAAGGATTAGCAAACAAGGACAGCATTCCTACAGTTAAATAACTTTACGGAGCTGAAACTTGGAGAACTACTACAACCATCATCAAAAGCGTACAAGTATTTATAAACAGTTGTCTATGCAAGATACTCAACATCCATTGGCCGGATACCATCAGCAACAGCCTTCTCTGGGAGAGAACAAATCAGCTTCCAGCTGAAGATGAAATTAGGAAAAGACGATGTAAATGGATAGGACATACATTACGCAAATCATCAAACTGCACCACGAGGCAAGCCCTGACTTTGAATCCTGAAGGGAAGCGGGAAAGAGGAAGGCCAAAGAACACATTACGTCGGATAATAGAAGCAGATATGAAAAGGATGAATTACAACTGGAAGGAGCTGGAAAGAATTGCCCAGGACATGGTTGGATGGAGAATGCTGGTGAGCGGCCTATGCTCCTTCACGAGGAGTAACAGGCGTAAGTAAGTAATATTACAAAGTTAAATAAAAACGGAGAAAGCGGACAACCTTAACGAATATCACAATAGATGAGCAAACTGAAAAGAATTTATACACTAATGAGCAACAAATTAGTGAGTGCAATATGAATATTAATAATAATGAACACTAATGCTCTTTCTGCAAACCATCATCTGGTGACATTTTTTTGCTAGGCTTGAAGAATTCTAGTGAATCCGGTATACGAATGAAAATAAAGGTGACACAATTGATAACGAAAAATCTTCTGAGCTTCTTCCATGCATTACATTGAATAGTATCCAGAGTGAAAACGGTAAAAGGTTGAAAATATTATAAGCTGTAACTTAATGTTGTAATAAATATATGTATATAATTCCCATGAAAAACGAAAGGCATCCATTCTTATACAATCCATACAATTGGCACCAACTATAATGCAGAAACGCTTGATTTCAGAAGGATCAAATGAAGAAACTAACACAATAATCTTACACAGTGAAGATCGCTTGTTAGTCTCCAACTTGTCTATCCACAGACTGCCATCCTAAGCTTACCAAACAGTTCTACACCGAAATTTTTACACTGCATAAATGGTAACTGAAAGTGTAAAAACTTAGATCTTAATTGCTCATCAAGTAACAGAACAGTCGAAATAATCAGATTTTTTCAAGTTACTGTCAATTCTAAAACCTCGAGACAGAAAAGAGGAAGAAAAGCAATCAGTGGAATAAACTTCTGAAATGTCTTTAAGAATGTTCAAAAAAGTCAAGAGAGATTAAATGTTGAGTAACAAGATGTCTGTTGTGGATAGGTAATCATAGAACAAGTAAAAATACCATAATTAACTAATTCACATTCTGATACTTTTTCCATTTAATAAGATTCTAGCATCCCACAAGCCATTACCTGGATACATAAAATTCCTTATGATGGCGAAAATAGATAGATGTTTGATACGTCAACTGCTTGAATGGTTGTTACTGAACTTCCATCCGCTTCTATATGAGTAAAAGCCTTGCTCTAAGGTTAATCTATGTACATCAAAAAAGTATTTATAAGGTTTCTTATGACTTTTACACCGAAAGCTCCCGGAAACGCATTAAATATGTAAGCAATATCACCAACCCAACACAATCCTTTGTTTTCTTTCATGTTTTTGAGAAGCTTCTATTCAAAAGTGATTAGATAAAACGTTCCCAGACTAGTTTTGGGCCTGTAGAGACTTTGTTGATGGATATTTGTGGACTCTCAACAGTGTTAAATGTTGGTTTGAATGCGTGCTTTGTCATCTTACTTTCATTTCCATTAACGTCTCATATTAAATTACGAAATACCTAACGACATCCAATAAAAATAGTTAAATGGTACAACTGTCTCACCTATTTGAAAACAATCAAAATAGCACGCTAAGGTAAACATGCATGGCTATTTAATATATGGTAATAATATAATTATAAGATAAATCCATAGCAAAAATTTAAATTATTACACAACAAGTGAGTAACTAAAACCGTAACTTACTATTCCTAAACACACAGAATCCAATTTATCCTGATTACCTTCAAAGCATCCAAGTGGAATAGAAGTTTTACAATACTTTTTTCCGCCTACAGTTTGAACACAAACTGTAACTGGTAAGTTATCTATAACCCTGAAATGAAAACAGGTTTTGTTGTATGTGCATGGAACACGGTATCAAGTAATGATCGAATAGATATAGATTAATAAATGCCAACATTCATGTTTTTAATTAAAATTTACAGTTAAATGTCAGCTGCAAAAATAAACAATTGAGAATTATGATCACGAAGCATTCCTTCTATAATACTTGTAAATGTAGGAGTACTACTTTTTGTCTGAACTGTATTTTAATGAACAATAAAATTTCTATTAACCGGTTGTTGAGTGTGTGTTAGCTCGTGTAAATGACAAAAAAACTAAATTATCGATAGGTTATATATATTTGCAGTAGGCACTGATCCTAACGGAAAAATAAGACAAACTTTTATTGTACAACAATTTGAATGACAACTATGTGACTAGGAATGGGATTCAAATATTAGAATCATAAAACGCAATATCTTGGGAGAGATTTACAGTCAGCTCAAGTAAAAATTTGTATATTTAGCTTTGAGTCACACAATTTATGTAAGGATTAGTGACAAGTGTAATTTCACAGTGATACTATCGTAGAAAAAACATTTAAATACCTTACCAATGGTGCTCATAGCCCATCATAATAGCCTTGGTAATAAATAAATATTTCTTGTAGTCAGTATGTGAGTATTTTTTCGAACAAAGGACTTTACATGTCTCTTCTTTGCCAAATATGATCTAAAATGTAAGAAAAAAGGTTCGAAACTTTTAACATGGGAAAAAAGATTATCTTGAGTTTCCAACACACAATCCCTGTTGATTACTAGATAAGTGGATTTAGGTTAACTATTGCAAGGAAATGTGGCTCAGTAGCCAACGTATGTATGTAGTACTGCATATGTTAACTACCTAAAATCCGATAGCCACTATGTGGGAATTAATGTTTTACACATAAAGACTATGGATACTTTCAAGTGTTTGTGATCTTTAATATTAACTGAATATGACAACACATCTAATAATGTCATATATTCAAAAATATTTAACTCCAGTTACTAGTTGGATCAGAAATGATTCTCCTTTTGAAGTCACTGCTGTAGTTCAACTGGTATTATTTGAGGACATAGTGAGTTTTACTGCTCTCTTCCAAAGGACTACGCATGACAACAATGATAATCAGTGTACTCATAACAGATTAATGCAAACCTTAAATTGAAATGCAGCCTTAAGACAGTCCCTGGCAGGTGACTTAGGAACTTAATTGTAGTCTTTGAATAACTATGTAAGAAACCACTTGTCCTATAAAACGTACTGTATGCACATATGGATTTACCACAATAAGTACATTGAGAATCATTTAGATAAGCTTGCTTGCCAAAGTCTTTAAAAAGTTATTTAAAACTAGAGTTCCCAGTGTAAGTAATATAGATGTTGCGTATGGCATATTATTTATAAGTATATCTTGCTTGGTAAGTTGTAGATCACAATAGCTGGATTTTAAAAATATGACTGGGTATTCACTTTGGATAGTTGCAACGAGTATGTTATATTTGATGGTTTTACTAATTTCCTAATCACGTCATAAGCCTTGCAGAAGACGGCCGGATGAGATATCTAATTGCAAATACATTGCGATGAAGTTAATCAGCGTGGTAATAGACTTTCACAGAAGACGGCTAATATGGAGAATGATCTTAGATAGGGCGTTCCCAACTTATGCCGAAGATATTTGTGTTGCTTCCAGGATTAGAAGGGTTGATAGGGTGGACGATATTTTTGCATTCAAACCTCATACATGTTTGATAACTATGCTTTGTAAAGATGCAGACAATTTGGTTGGGGTCCGTGTGACTATCGTAACCAATGGTTGGAGATTCTGGGTGACATGCTTCAAAATCGATCACAATGGTGTAGGTGGATACACTGTTTGACTTCCCTCAAACCGTGAAATTAAAATTTCTACAAACTACTTCTTTCTTCCTGTATTATATCCTTATATGCAATCCTTCTTTTATATATTACTACCATTCAAGTAACTACTTCCATGAATTTTGTGTTCATCTTGTTATGCTAATGAGGTATGGCAACTTGGACCGATGCATATATGTACCTAATCCTACATTGTAGCTGACTGACTGATATATTGTCATCCACCGTACAAGCAACAAGAAGTAGCTGGCTTGCTGAAGTTTATTCCAGCACACTTGCTTCAGAAATCCTCATAAGGAACCATTTGGTCTTACCCTTACGTTGATGACATACAATAATCTACTACTAGTAATTTTATTGTGTTCTTCGTTTGTTAACACGCGTGTATTGCAATAACTACAGCAGTGAGGCAACAACTACGTGCGTTTTCTATTTTTACGTCTGGTTCAAAACTGGTAGTGGGACTACGATTCATTTTTACAAGTATTCTATTTTCAAGCATCGTGCGTCGGGGTCAAATTACTCCTTTAATTCACTATGAGAACTTCTATATTTTGTCTTCACACAAATGGTATAGCTCAAAGCCTATTAAAGAAACAAGTGCTTAGTTATTGAGATAGAACCTAAAAACTAAAAATGATCATATTTTCCACATTCATTGGTCATACGTTTTCCTTTGTACTAGTAGCTAGAGTGGAGATTTATAGAGTGCACAGTTACGCAAAATTCTAATATGAATTTACTGGTGCATGATCACGAAGAACTTACGTACTATCTAACGTGCTGTTAATCTAAGCAAAGTCGGAATTCTAGACAAAAATAACAGCTTAAAGAAAAACTAAGATTTTAGGATAAAGTGAATCCATCACTATAAAAATATTATCACCTCATAACTCGATGGTGATAGACGTTCTCCAAAGACCACCTGACCGAGATTTTCGACAGGAGATGGCTCTGAAGACAAACTGCAGAAATCAAACCTAAAATTGAAACGTAGAAAAAGATAAAATCAGGAGTCCGATTGGAAAATATAATGAAACGCGAGAAACAACAAACAGCTTTATAAGACGAGCGCTGATGAGGTTCCTGAAACATAGACTCCTACACGAAACCAGGCTTCAAAAGTTTACTGTTTACATCTGAACAAAAATTCTAGCTAAACTCTCTAATGAACCGTATGTTGGCGATGTACACACAGAATAGTTTAAATTTTCTAAAACATCTCATTCGGATTATCTGCATACTATCACGGGAAAATATTCTTGGTGTTTCATGCACTGCAAGCATCGAATTTGGTCACCGCTTACCAAAGCAGTCTTAAAATTGCTTGACTTTATCTGAAAAAAATTGAGGTAAAAAATGATTTCTATGTGCATATTGACTATGAAGATCCTGATTTAGGTATAAGGCGCATTTGTGTTCATCTACTGAATCCTCGCTTATTCTATAAATGAAAGTCCAGAAATAAGAATTTATCTTTAATTAAAGGGAATCCAACAAGATAAATACGCAAGGAAGTAGTGAGTTCCGGGTTAGTTACATAAACCATGATGTACACTCAACAGACTAGTGCTGTTGATTTTAGCAATTAGTAATTGGTTTTTTTTCAGCCCATCACCGAAATATTTGTAATCAGATATATCAACAGAACTACCGATAAAGAAAAAATTCACTGCCATTGTGAACCATGACGTATAAACACAAAAATAGGTCGTTCTTAACTTAACATTATGCTGAAATGAAATGTGACAACTTGGATTGATACATGTTTGTACCGCTATGACGTGATTTACAACCGATAGGATTCCCATGAGTAAACCCCTGGATAAGATGACCGCTAACAACACTTCGTTCAAAATGCCAAAATATGAAGTTCTGTTTTAGGCTGCAATCGAATAAATCAAATGTTATCAAATAACGAGCGGCATAACCCAGGGTTACTTTGAATAATAAACAATCTATCACTACGATCATGCTTTAATAATCCCATTATATTTACAGTCCAATCATAATTTCACAAGGTTGATATCCCCACTTGGTTTGTAGTATTATCTTCAAGATAAGTTTATGAAGATATCCTACAAAATACTTTTAAATTTCTACAAAGCGGAGCTTCGTTAAGACGAACGTTTTAGAATGGTAAGTCTCTCCGAAGTACATGAGTGTCTCTTATGAGTATATGTTCCAGAACATTCAAAACCTGTTAATCGTAAACTAAGACGGTTGTGTAGAAATAAATAAACATGGTCACGAACTACGAAACGCATTAACTATTGATAAGGCTGTGTTAGAGATGCTAGGATCAACCAAATCAATTTTAAAATTCACATTTAGAGTGAATTTTATGCCTCTGCTTTTATTTCATTTTAATGTGTATTAATTCGTTTCGTATGAAGTTGGTTTATTGATTTCTAAAGGGTTTCATCGTACTAATTAACTCAATGTTATTTTTCGTTTAAGTGATGACTGCTTGGTCGATACGTTCTGTAATTAATAATCATTGAAATCAATCGATACGTAATCGAATTAACGTGAACGTAAATTAATCTTATTTGGTATCTTAGTAAATCTCTTACAAAATGTCTTTTGCAGTAGCTGGAGTTAGAAGAGAGGAAAGTTGTTTTATACACTACGGTTGTCTTCAGAGTTATCGCCGTTGTTTCCCAAACGTATCAGTTGGTGAAGTCCCTTTGTACATATATGGTGGACATATATTTTTATATTACAAGTGATTACCAAGTATTGAAAGCAGTGCATCCATCAAACAATGGACTTTCAGTAATCTGTTGAAATATCTTAGCGATAAAGCTTGGGACTAAATGTTTGAAATATCACAACTTAAAACACACAAGCTAAAGGTGCACCGCACAAACACTTCCTATCTGACTATCCATACTTTGAAAGCCTACCCAGAAATACCGTTTGTTTGTTGATTATGACACAAAATATAGGATATTATGGAAAAGTCACAACTCCACAAAATTAGTTTAGATGTAAAATGTAACAGTAGATAAAACGGAGAGATGAGTCAATTTATCTTGGAGGCAGTCTGTTCTTCAACGACAGAAATAGAATCTACACAACACTTATCTGGAGTATCAGAAGACGGATTCTGCATATCTGGGAGTAAAATGGATGAAAGCATTTGTGGGTAAGACATGATAACTACCTGCTAGCATAAGCGGATAAAAAATAAACCTACATGGAAAACCTGGTCCCTCAAGAATAGTGATGATATATCCGTCCAAACTTATTATCCTTTTTTGAAGCTCATATTATGCGTTATTACCGGTTTAGATATGACAGTGAGAGGTGGTACAAGGAGTCTTAGGGTTGAGTTTACACAGTCAGATATGAGAATGATATGCAAAAATGCGAAATATTTTGCTAACTAATAATGGAGATTATTCGTTTGAAGACAAGGTTTAACAACCTGATTAGAACTCATATCATCGTCAGTTGGACGACAAGGTGGGATTTCGAGTGAACCTAAAGTAGTACTACTGCACTAGTGAACTCAAAAAATTCGGAAAAATAGACGCTCGTAACTTGTTAGTGCAGTTCAAGGAAATCTAGCGACAAATTCCAAGTCTCATCAATTAGCAAAAATTGAACCCACATATATACAGTATTATGACTGCCACCTATACGCAGGGACTACATTGCAAGAAATGTGACTTCAAATGACAGACTCTAGTCTCAGGTGTTCACTCAGTATCTATTAACATCTATACGAAGTTGAAATTATCCAAATAAATAATTCTGCACCAATTTTCGTTCTTACTTTCTTTAAGATAATAAAGGTAACTATGTGTATCAAATAACTTCCAATAGTCTCTTATCATTCTCCTATTATAAATAATCCTAAATCGCAGATAAATGACCTGAACAAAATGTAAACACTGAATTCTAGTAGAGAAATACTACGGTTTATGAACAAATCTATCAGGTTGACCGAACATGTTTCGTACTTGCAAGAATAAACAGTCATTATCTACTATTCAGTTTTCGGTGGCTGGTTAGATATTCCGAAAACCACTAACAGCATAAGAGTTCCCGAAGGTTCGTCGTTGAGTAATTCACCATTGTCAACTGACCAATGTCAAATGCATCAAGCACAATGTATTTTTGAGCTGACAAGGCGAATACCTTTCGTAACAGAGTCAGCAGTTTACGACTGTATGAATATCAACCGCACATCATCCCTTCATCGAAATCAATAGTTACAAACACACAGTGACCTGTTACGATCGATCTAGCTGCAATTAGATTGAGTAAATTAAGACGCGAAAATCACTATTTTGCTCCACAAAAAAGTCACAGCGAGGACACTCTCACCGTTAGATGCCTTGTGCATTTGACTTTTAAAAACTTAGCTAAATCATGAACTCAATCAGGGACCAAATACAGTTGCGTGAAACCGAATACTAATTAATATTCGGTCGAAAAAAAAACAAGAAAATAGGTAAGTGAAAAAACTTGTGGTGAGGACTTACGAGTCATAGCGGAAAGAGATAAACGACTTCTTTGAAGTCAACTTATTAACGAGTAAAGTAATCTCACTCTAAAAAAAAGTAAAAACATGTTGACATATACCTTGCAGTTACTTTCACTATCAACCACTGGTGGACAATAATTGATCGGTGATATCCCTGGTAAATACCATGCCGTCACCAGGGACAAGTGGATTGTTAAAAACCAGCCTAAGACACAATTCCTCACCATCATACGTGTCACAAACAACCAAACGGCCTACTCAAATTAAGATGAAATAAGCTGTCCAATGTTCAAAGTTGCCAACGTTTTTGGACCGATATTTCAATCTCTATATTCGTCATACAAAAGTTAAGAAATAATGGATTATTGGGGTCTGCTTTAGAACTGTACCGACTGGTTACTTCTCCGAAGTGAAAATACATGGGTGCTTTTTAAAAATAATGGTGACTTAAAACGCTCCAACGTCACCAGTCCAAAGTGTGTCCGAACGGCATTTTTGTCGTAGTTTACGTAAAATCATAGGACCCTAAGACACATAAATACTCTTTGATCTGAGATATTTCTGACGGCGAGTTATGTAAATTAGGTTTTTAGTTTGCGAAATGTCTCAGATAGTCTACTTTACTCCCTGAAGTGTTGAAGTTAAGTTCATTGTTATCCACCCAACTTCGAATTCCAGTCAGATCCCCCTTAAGAGCGAGCTTACCATCTTGATTGCAAACTTCTCTTTAAAGCTTCATATCATCAACAAGAAATAAAACAAAATAATTCCTGCTGAGTAAGGTCGTTTATATAAATTAGAAAGCAAAGAGGTCGTAGAACTGAACCCCAAGGGACCCGACTAGTACAACCCATAGCCCGAGAAAAAGGGTAATTAAACCATTTAAAGTTGATCAGCCGGATATGAAGTGAACCAAACAACTAACAGAGAATGGAAGAATATCGTTGTATGTACCATACTCGAAGTCTGATCTTGGAAGGAACACCTCAAAGAAATCTCGAAAGATTTTTGAGGAAGGAAAGGTTTTAAACAAGTTACCTCCAAAAGCACGGACTCCTGTAATGCATTATACGATAGTCAAGAGATTTCGTACACCTATTTCACTTTATTATTTTATGGAGAGCAAGAGCAAAGATTGGTGCAGAATAATATGAATTCGTTTTATCTCGTTAGGTTGTCATCAGCTGATTACAACCTAAGTATTTAAAAATCGATGTTTTTACAGATATTGACATACTTATACATAAGAGGGTGATTAAGGATGAACATATGTATCATGATGTAACAAAGATTCCGTTCGAGTTAATGAGGTCATAAAATTTTTGTTTCAAATAGATAAAGTTTGGGAGAGAAGGTTTCAGCACATTGAAATAGTAATTAGAACTCATGAAATTAAAAACACATTAGATCATTATGCTGAAGTGACTTACTTTTATCACGAGAACGCGATTGGTTTAATGAAAACAATTATTCTTATTATGACCAATTGTACCTGTGCTTGTTTTAATGTGCTTTTGTTTAACTGTGCTAATGACAGACATCTTGTGCTTCCATTACTCTCCATTACTGTTTCGTGGTTCGTGACCTCCTCTGAACGTACTTTCTCCTGCCCACTCCGCTCGTACCTTTTCTTGGCACGACCTCGGTATTCGCTCGATACCGCGAGATCGCCAACGAAATAAACTTGGTTCTAATCCGCATTCGCCTTCTGATTTATTTGGCACGTGTTTCTTTGTAGTGGTGTTCATAGTCAATCTCGTCTTGACTCCACACTACAATGTAGTGGAGTGACAGAAAACAGAATAATGGTAATAAAGAGAGATATGAACTCAAGTTTGTCAGTTATAAGTGATGTAATTATGAAATTCAGAAAGATTTTGAGTAGTGAACGACGTAATAAATAAATAAAAGGGGGGTAGATGAAGTTTCGAATGTTAAAAAGTGTTTAAGGAATAACGGATACCGATTGAATTTTATTGAGAAATGTGGAAAACGTGAAGATAAAATACCCAAGGAAACTAAAGTAAATAAAAAATCTATTTTTATTTAACTCAAATTCAAAGGTGATAATGTCACAGGGTCAATCAATATGAGACTAAATAGTGCATTGTCATGAACTTATCCTGCAGCTGAACTGATTGTCCTGTCCAAAACAACATATTCTTTAACACAGTCAAAGGTCGACAGGTATCTCTTTCCTGTTACCACCAACTGTGTATACAAATTTACATGTATCTGTCAAAGCAGTTACATTGGTGGATCAGAAAGGAGAGCCTATGTCCGATTCAAAGAACAGATTCCGAAGGCTTTAAGATCAAACGGACTAAAAGCATTCAACAGTACTATCACAAGACATCTCCTTGACACAGGACAGGAAGTCGATGCACTTAAGTCTTTCAAGGTGATTAACAAACAATCAAACTCCAACCTTTTGAAATTTCCCAAAGCGATAGCAATCAAGCATCTAAAACCAGATCAATGTATACAAAAAGAGATAGTTATAAATCTTCCTTTGCCCTGGTAACATTAAACCCCCTTTTTTATTTGTATTTTTTTCATTACATCATTCATTATTCCAACTCCTTCTGAAGTTTAAATTACGTCCTTTATAACTGGCCAATTTCAGTTCATATCTCTCTTTATTACCATTAATCTACTTTCTGTCACTTCATTACATAATAATCTAATAAGTTTTTAATTTCATGAGTTCTAATTACTATTTCAATGTGCTGAAACCTTCTCTCCCAAACTTTATCTATTTGAAACAAAAATTTTATGACCTCATTAACTCGAACGGAATCTTTGTTACATCATGATACATATGTTCATCCTTAATCACCCTCTTATGTATAAGTATGTCAATATCTGTAAAAACATCGATTTTTAAATACTTAGGTTGTAATCAGCTGATGACAACCTAACGAGATAAAACGAATTCATATTATTCTGCACCAATCTTTGCTCTTGCTCTCTTTAAGATAGTCAAGAAATTCACAATGCAGTCTTTGATCCTTAAGAACATCTTGACCCAAAATGTGGTACGATGACCCAAGAGTCAGTCAGTTATCATCCAAAATCATCAGTAACACTAGACCTCGCTCAACAAAGGCAGCATCTCGATTTTCCTCAAAATGACATCTGCTAACTTCGAGGCATTTCGTACCGTTAAGCGCCACTTACCACCTGGACTCCACATGCATCCGCACAGGAAACATGATGCAGGAGTGAATAAAAAACAACGTGTAGCTATCTATTAGGTTTGTGGTCAATCGATAATAAAATATCCGTGGAAGGGGCTGGAACCACTTATTAGGCTTCATCCTTGTTGAAGAAAGTGTAGTGACGTACTTTTATCAGGAGAACGCGATAGGTTCAATGGAAACAATTATTATTATAACCAATTGTACCAGTGATTGTTTTACTGTACTTGTTTGTTTAACTGTATTAAACACATTCTTCCTTCCGTTGATTGTGACCTTGCATGCACTTACGTTTACTCAGTGATTCCGCTTGTACTCTTTTGGCACGATTTCGGTACTCTTTTGATACCACGAGATCGCCAACAAATAAATCTCGCTACAACCTCCAATCGCCTTCTGATATCTGGTACGCAACCTTCTTGTAGTGGTGATCGCAGTCGGCCACGACTCGATGCCACACTAAAAAGGTATGCATGAAGTTGAATGGGGAAGATGATCTCACAAAATATGTACCAAGTTATCGCTGGCCGCACACGAACGTTGCTGTAAATCGACCTCACTGAGCGTGTGTATAGAATGTTGCCTCACAACAGTGATTCTACCAGATGAAGCTTTTGTGTTTCCCTCTATCATGAACAAATTGTCGAGTGATGATGCCCACTCAGTAAGTCTGACATCAGATAAAGAGAAAAAATAATTACAGTTGCCAGTACCTTCGATTGACAGGATAAGATTCCCAATTTCGATACCACACAGAGGAGACACCCCCTGTCTGAACCATTGTTACACGTAACCGTAATGAGTCCCGCACTGTCGAGACAGGTATACTAACACTCACCGGAAGTTTATATACCCCAGACACTGTTGCTAAGGTGAATTTAACTATATGATGTGCAGATAGCAATACTCTCACAAGAAAAATTAGATAGTATAAATAAGTAGATTCGTCCGAAAGTCAAAACCTGAAGGTTAACAAAGGAAAAGCTTCAAGTAGTTGGTACGAAGTAAATGTCGATACTTTAGCGGCCCGTTGATCTGACTCCATTTAGATCGTATGAATATTAGTTATCACCTATCCTCGTATATAATCATTGACTTTAATCGCGTTAGTCAATAACGGATTTAGATAAGTCACTTAACTAGAATGGACTTTCGAACACATATATTTTACATATGAAGCGAATGAAATAGGGCAAAGCAAAACAACGCACAGTGGAGATGGCTGGTAAGCCAACTCATTGTTATTATTATTATCATTTTTAGCCAGGCGTTACTCAATATTTATAGGCAGACAAAATAAACTACAGACATGTGATAAGGCATGGGATATGAAGTGTACACACATATACGCTCATATAAAAACAGTCAAGACTGATAAGCGAATAATTAAAAAGGTCAAAATATGACTGAAGTAGAATGAATGGATTGGTTTGTCCAAAAACAAGAATAAGATATATTATAGGCTTAAAATAATGACTGACACTACAATAAAATCAACTGTCATGAGCACGACTTTGAAAGAAATCAAGTCCGTTTCTTATTTAATCATTTGGAATCTGTATGAATCGAAAGAAAAAACATCGCATTTTTCTGGACTATTCTTCTGCTTTAGGTTCTATGCCAAGACAATGTTTATTTAACAAGTTAATTAACATCAACACTGACAGATGGATAACCAGTTGGCTATGTTCCTACCTCTCTGGAACGGAACAACACATTGTATTGTTTTCAGGAAAGTGTTCAAAGTCTCTACTGTCTCATGAAAGTGTTCCACAAAGAACCGTTCTTTCACCTCTTATTTTTCACTTTTTTCTGCATGATCTGTCATCTTCCACAGAAAACACTTCTGTGAAATATGCGGATGATCTCACTGTATGTATGCCTATCTCTTCCTCTTTACATCCCATAGAAATCAATGAGTTTTTGTCTCGTATTGATTGTTGGTCTGTTGGTAATGGTCTCATACTTAATCCGTCTAAATTTCAAGCTGTTAACTTTATCATGAGACATGAACGGCATTTAAACACTACTCTGGCGTCCCATAATGCCT